CTCTCATCGAGCTAAAGAGATTGATACCAAAATTGTTAAGGTCTAGAAAGTTTCAAGCTAGTTATGGCTTTGCGCCTACTTGGCCGCGCGCCTACTTGGGCGTGTCCCACTTTGTTCATATCCCCCCCCCCCCCCAATATGCACTGAAATAAGCAAAATTTATTTAAATATGCATTGGTCAAAAGTTTGCTTCTTCTTCGGGGAAGCATTGCCAATAACAACAGACCAATTGGTCGAACTGGCTAATGTGTTGGCTGAAATTATACTACCCACTATTGAGGTAGCTGTCCGCGCAGCAGTTGTTGAAGTATTTAAGCAACAACAAATTAAAGACAATAACAACCAAAACAATCTTCAAACCTTATGGGTCAACCCCCGTCTGGCGTGGGAACAACTACTTAATCAGATTTCTTTCTTAAATCGTCAAATCAAAATGTTTTAAAATAGGGATCTGATTGAACGCAAATCGAATCAGCAGTTGGCGTGATTTAAAAATTTGAAAATTGGCGTTTGGCGTTAGGCGCGCCACGCGAAAATTTCGGCGCACAACCCTGATCTTTATCTGCCACAAAAGTTACCTCCACTCGTCGTCGTCTATAACCTCCACAAGACGCAACTTCGAATTCACAAATAACTATCAAAAGGACGGAAGCGAAAATAAATTTGTTTCCAATCGAACACATTTTTGTTTTTTTTCAAATAAATATTTTTTAAATTTAAACTCTGAATAAAATTAAAAAATAAATATAAAGGAAAATTATCATTTATGAAGGTTGATAAAGTAGAAGCGGCTTTAAAGTTGCCACTAGGGTTGCACAAAACCGTTTAACTAAACGGTATACGGTAAATGGGTAAAATTAAACGGAACGGTATACGGGCTCAGATAAACGGCATAAACGGTATAAAGTTTTTTTCAAAATTAAACGGTTTTGTGCAACCCTAGATGTCACTATAAAAATTATTTTAAAAAATAGGGTTTATCGGTCTCACCAAATTTTTCGGTTACCGTATTTTCTCGATTAATTCCCCTGTAGAATTATTTTTTCAACCCTTGATTGGCATGGGGAATTAATCGAGGGAGGTGAATTATTCGAGTTTTGGCATTTGAACGTGCAGTAGGGTATTTGGAGGTGGGGAATTATTGTTTCAACCCAACTCTAGCATGGGGAATTAATTGAGGGAGGGGAATTAATCGAGAAAATACGGTAAACTAAACCGAACTGAGAAACAAAACCGAAGCAGTAGCATAAGGAGGTATAAAGAGATTCGTGAGGATAAAGAAGGTTTTAAGAATTAGGAGAGATGTAGAGATAGATTTCCCCTTTTGGCATTTTGTTTTTCCAAACCCAATGCTTATCAAATTATGGTTGCAGATCCGGAGCCAAAGTAGGATATAGATATATAGACTAGAGTACGTCCGAGTCGAGCGAGTTCGAGTTACTCGACACGACCGCTCGGGTTTTTGCTTAAGTATCGACTTGGAACTCAGACATAATACTCGGATTACTCCCTTAATATTGCTCTTAATCAACAGATATCACACGATATCCCACTCAATCAACTTAAACTCCCATAATACTTTATTCATTGATTTGCCACTCGTATCCAACATGGAGCGGTTGGCCGACTCTGGAGCTCGGAGCCAACAAATCTTAATACATTTTTAAAATGCGGCATGTCCCAGAGTTAGTGCCAATGTGAAAATAGAAGCTGTTCTAAAAATAGGATGCAAAAAAATCTTATTTTAAAATTATATTTTATTGAATTTGAATGTGTTAAATGAAATAAAATCGTTGAATATCAATGAATATAAATAAGAAAAAATTATGGGCGGGCTCTGAACTAAATATGTAGGATGAAAAAAAATTTTTTGTTATTTGTTAGAAAATCACAAGAAATTAATTTTAAAAATTTTTATAGTTTATAAAAAAATTTTTTTAGAGTCCAACAGATGTAGAGAAGATTAATTAATCCCATTGTCTATTAAAATAAATTTTAAACCGGAAAGAAGGGAATGGAGAAAATGATTGAGAGATACAGCGTGATAAATTGTTTATAAAAATTTTAAATTGATTTTAAAATTTTAAAAATTTTAGAGAGGAGAAGATAGAGCTACAAATTGAACGGAAAGATAAGCTAAAAATATTCAATACTAGTATTTTGTTGAATGCCACATCAGGTTTAATCAATTAAAAAATCTGTTAGAAATAGAAAATAAAAATCAGTAAAAATTTTTGTGAACCAGAATTAATTAGAACTTTCCGGGAAAATAATCAGAATTTAATGAAAACACAAAAATCAGAATTAAATTAAAACTTTCCTAAAAACAAACCAGAATTTAATTAAAACACAAAAATCAGAATTAATTAAAACTTTCCGGAAAAATCAGAATTTAATTAAAAACACAAAAATCAGAATTAATTAAAACTTTCCGGAAAATAAATCAGAATTTAATAAAAACACAAAAATCAGAATTTAATTAAAACTTTCCGGAAAAATCAGAATTTAATTAAAAACACAAAAATCAGAATTAATTAAAACTTTCCGGAAAAAAAATCAGAATTAATTAAAAACACAAAAATCAGAATTATTTCATAAAACTTTCCGGAAAACAAATCAGAATTAATTAAAAACACAAAAATCAGAATTAATTCAAAACACAAAAATCAGAATTTAATAAAAACACAAAAACCAGAAATAAACTTTCCGGAAAACAAATCAGAATTTAATTAAAAACACAAAAATCTGAATTAAATAAAACACAAAAATCAGAATTATTTCATAAAACTTTCAGGAAAAATAATCAGAATTTAATTAAAAACACAAAAATCTGAATTAAATAAAACACAAAAATCAGAATTTAATAAAAACACAAAAACCAGAATTTAATTTAAAAAATCAGAATTGCATATTTACTCCTTTTATAGTAAGTCGTTATAATAATAAAACAATTGGCGCTCAACCGTCCCAAAAATAAAATTAAAAACGTCACAGAACAAATTATAGAAAATAAAAGAGGGTAACGCTGAGTGAGTGAAAAAGACATAGAAATGTTCATGTCTAATGCTAGGCAACCAAAATTTTTGTTTTTAAAGCTAAAAAATGCAAAAATCGTTAATGATGACTAATTGCTGTATTAATTTCTGTCAAAGTTTTCAAAAAAAAAGTTTATTTTATGCTGTCATATATTAATTTTTAAATTTATTTTTGCTTAATATACATTTTTCTATTTTTGTTTTATTTTAGATTTTATTTTGGAAATTTATTTATTGTGAAATATTTCAATTTTAATTGATGGCTGGACTTGAGGGAAATCCATTTGCTGATCCTTTCCAGGTTTTAGGGGCAATTTTAATAAATTTTTAAATTCTCCCTGAGTGCTGTCGTTAAAGTAGCACGCCCATGTAGGCGCGCGGCCAGGTAGGCGCAAAGCCATAACTAGCTTGAAACTTTCTAGACCTTAACAATTTTGGTACCATTCTCTTTAGCTCAATGAGAGGCATCGTTTAATACTAAATTTGGTAAGATTCGGGGATCTTGAAGCAAGTTATGACTGCGCCGTTATGACCGCGCGCTTACTTGGGCTGTACCCGTCGTCAAATATTTTGCCTAAAATTTTATCCTCAATTTTAGCAGACCAACAATTCGACTCCCTCAAACACTGTCCCGCAACAGCCAAGTGGTTATGGAGGAACGGCTCAGAGTATGCCGGTGAGACCGGTATATTTTTTATAAATTCCGTTTGAATAAGGTGTTTAATTAAGCGTAGGAACAGCGCTAGAGTTCTAACATTTAGTGAAATTCTTTCAATAATGCATATTTTGTGTTTTGTTCAATTAGAATTTGATTTGAATCTCTTTTCTTGGAAAAATCTTAAAAGTCGTCGTATTATAAATTAATTACAATGAGGGCAACCGTGATAATTGTACATTGATAAATACTACTATATTATACTTGATAATAATTAGAGATCGGTATTTTCAAAAATCCTGGTTCTGGATTTAGCCTAGTAACCTGAACAGGATTCGCTACTTATTGGTTATCCCAAAATAGTTTTTGCAGACATTTTATGCGGACTCATTTTTGCATTGAATGGTCAAAGGTTCTCTTCATTCCTTGATTTTCTCAATTTTCCCTGTGCTCTTATTGAATGGAGCCACAATGAAAATTGAGTGAAATCGAGGAAGGAAGAAACTTCTTGCTTTGTTGGGCGGAAGAAGCTTTGACCATTCCTTGCAAAAATGAGTCCGCATAAAATGTCCGCAAAACTACTTTTGGATAACCAATAAGTACCCAGGATTCTTAATCTGTATCCAGGAAAATCCAGACTGGATCTAGACGATCTCTAGTAATAATGGATCTGATAGTTTCTTTTGCATTTTATAAATTTTTTCTTATAGATTATTCTCTAAGTTATTGTTAGGCTAGCTAATTTTCCTTCCAGTCTATTTTTCAAAAAATTAGTTTGTTTGGTGGTTCGGATAACAACAAACTCTGCTTCGAATCCATCTGCTCTACGGATAGCGGCAGAAGGTTACTGCTTATCTCAGCGACTTCGTCCTTTTTATCCTCATTTCTAAGATACATTCGTGGATACCTGCTGTTTTCTGAATGTCTTATTTCGGATTCCCTGTTAAATTTTTATTAGAATTTTCAAGAAAGCTGTCTTGGATTAAACTTAGTTTCGTTTTTCCTGATATTGAATGACTCTCAAAAATTATTTTTCTGATTTTTTACTCTTCTATCCTCTCTTGACTTTGGTTTCCTATTTATAAATTCTTTCCTAACAAAAATACTCAACTCTTAAATTCTCCTTATAGAAACTATGCCAAGCTAAAAATGGGTAGAGATTCTATCCTTGTTTCCTTTTTCATTTTATTTTTTTTCTATTTTTTTCTTTCCTCTCATTCATGCTAGGCATTTATGGATTATTGTTGAAAGCCTCAAGAATTGCATAGTTTAACAATTTTGGCACTTGCTTTCTTTGCTTTTCTTAGGAATTTTTTTATTCTATTCGAAAATTAGGACCCTTAAAAATAACCTTCAAAAAAATTTATTTTCAGCCGAACCTCATTTTTAGATACCAGCTAGGGGATGAGAAATCTTACCTCATCCAAATATCTATATTAGATCGGTGAGGGAAAACTTGGGGGGGGAGGGGGGAGCTGGGGAGGAAAAAATGGGGTCTGTCAGGTTCAATATTACCTAGAAGCCTATGCATCTCCCCAAACCACCATGGCCAACCAAATTTAAAAAATCAGAACAAAATTCAGAACTTCAGGCTGCGCCAAAACCTTTCAGCGACTAAGGGAGCAGGCAAAGTACCGCGAGCCCAACGTATTACAAAGCAATAACTTTTTTCAAAATAGTCGAGTCCGGACGCCTTAGTATGGTTCTATGCATCTCGATAAGCTGAATCGAACCATATCAGGGCGTCCCGGATCTGACCTTTTTGAACGAAGTTATAGCTCTGCGGTACGTTGGCCCCAGCGCCTAAACGACCCTCCCCAAATAAAAACATTTTAAATTAAAGGATACCTTATTGGGGTTTACTAATAAATAAGATTCTACTGATTTTTTAAATTTTAGAATTTTTTAAAAAATTTTTGTAAATATTAAAAAAATGATTTTTGAGGCTCAAGCAACCGTGCCAATTAGTGAAGAAGAATTGTTTCGCCAGCAGGAAGAGTTGCGCCGGCGTGAACAAGTTAATTAAAAATTTCAGAATTTTTCTGAAAAAAAAATTTTTCAAAGGAATTAATTCGACGCCAACAAGATTTGGACAACCGCGCACGTCAACAACAACGTGCGGGTAATGGGCAGAGACCGCCTCACAATTGGCCGCCTCTGCCCAAAATTATACCGTTGGAGCCTTGTTTTTATCAGGATATTGATGTGGAGATTCCTGCACAGTTTCAAGTGAATATTTTTATATTGAAAATATTCTGATTTTTGTGTTTTGTTTTAGTGTTTTCCGGAAAGTTTTATTTTTGATTTTTGTGTTTTTATTAAATTCTGATTTTTGTGTTTTTAATTAAATTCTGATTTTTGTGTTTTAATTAATTCTGATTTGTTTTCCGGAAAGTTTTAATTAATTCTGATTTATTTCCCAGAAAGTTTCAATTAAATTCTGATTTTTGTGTTTTTATTTAAATTTTGATTTTTGTGTTTTTAATTAATTCTGATTTGTTTTCCGGAAAGTTTTAATTAATTCTGATTTATTTTCCGGAAAGTTTTATTAATTCTGATTTTTGTGTTTTTATTAAATTCTGATTTTTGTGTTTTTAATTAAATTCTGATTTTTGTGTTTTTTTTAAATTCTGATTTTTCCAGAAAGTTTCATTTCTGATTTTTGTATTTTTTTTAAATTCTGATTTTTCCGGAAAGTGTTATTTCTGATTTTTGTGTTTTTATTAAATTCTGATTTTTGTGTTTTTATTAAATTCTGATTTGTTTTCCGGAAAGTTTTGTTTCTGATTTTTGTGTTTTTAATTAATTCTGATTTGTTTTCCGGAAAGTTTTAATTAATTTCTGATTTTTGTGTTTTTATTAAATTCTGATTTGTTTTCCGGAAAGTTTTATTTCTGATTTTTGTGTTTTTATCAAATTCTGATTTGTTTTCCGGAAAGTTTTAATTAATTTCTGATTTTTGTGTTTTTATTAAATTCTGATTTGTTTTCCGGAAAGTTTTAATTAATTTCTGATTTTTGTGTTTTTATTAATTCTGATTTGTTTTCCGGAAAGTTCTATTTCTGATTTTTGTGTTTTTATCAAATTCTGATTTGTTTTCCGGAAAGTTTTATTTCTGATTTTTGTGTTTTTATTAAATTCTGATTTTTGTGTTTTAATTAAATTCTGATTTTTCCGGAAAGTTTCATTTCTGATTTTTGTGTTTTAATTAAATTCTGATTTGTTTTCCGGAAAGTTTTAATTAATTTCTGTTTTTTGTGTTTTTATTAATTCTGATTTGTTTTCCGGAAAGTTTTATTTCTGATTTTTGTGTTTTTATCAAATTCTGATTTGTTTTCCGGAAAGTTTTATTTCTGATTTTTGTGTTTTTATTAAATTCTGATTTTTCCGGAAAGTTTCATTTCTGATTTTTGTGTTTTAATTAAATTCTGATTTGTTTTCCGGAAAGTTTTAATTAATTTCTGATTTTTGTGTTTTTATTAATTCTGATTTGTTTTCCGGAAAGTTTTATTTCTGATTTTTGTGTTTTTATCAAATTCTGATTTGTTTTCCGGAAAGTTTTATTTCTGATTTTTGTGTTTTTATTAAATTCTGATTTTTGTGTTTTAATTAAATTCTGATTTGTTTTCCGGAAAGTTTTATTTCTGATTTTTGTGTTTTTATCAAATTCTGATTTGTTTTCCGGAAAGTTTTAATTAATTTCTGATTTTTTGTTTTTATTAAATTCTGATTTTTGTGTTTTAATTAAATTCTGATTTGTTTTCCGGAAAGTTTTAATTAATTTCTGATTTTTGTGTTTTTATTAATTCTGATTTGTTTTCCGGAAAGTTTTATTTAATTCTGATCCGGAAAGTTTAATTTCTGATTTTTGTTTTTTAATTAATTCTGATTTGTTTTCCGGAAAGTTTTAATTAAATTCTGATTTTTGTTTTTTGTTATAATTCTGCCTTCGGAAATTTTAAAAAATTCTGATTTATGTTAGCGGTTATTTTTATGAAATATTCTGATGTATTTTTCCGGAATGTTTAATTAATTCTGATTTTTGTGTTTTTCTAAATTATAAATTCTTTTTCTCTTCCAAATCAGGAGACTGTTCGTCTTGTCTACTATGTTTACCTAATTTATGTTCTTGCACTCTCTAGCAACGTTATGGGTGCCCTATTTTATTTTTTGTTTGCCGGTGGTGGTTTTGGCCTGATGTTTCTCTCAATTATTCAACTTATATTGTTTACTCCCTGTGCATTCCTTTTATGGTTCCGACCTGTTTACAAAGCTTTTCGGTAAATTTTTGGGGAAAAAATATTTTTATTTATATTTTTTGGCAGTCCACATTGTTTTTAAAGACCCATAGTCGTTAAGAAGCATATTTTTTCACATGTGGGTACCTTAATATGGTAGTATCTCTTAGGAAGCTCTCACAATCTCTGACCAAACAGAGAAAAATTAACCGGGCGGTTAACCGGCCTTGTCTTACCCTATTCTTAAGCATAAAATCTAGGGTCAGTAATAGGTTAGGTTGATCCCTGACCCACTGATTAGAACATTTTCTGGTGAAGGGGATGTCGGGAAAGGTCTTTTAGCAGTCTTTCCGTGGGTGAGAAATGGTCTAAAAATAATCATCGGCCATAACGGGGACTCGGGGTGACTAGTAATTTGACCGAGACTAGATCTCGGAAAAAAATTTTGGTTAACGAGATCTATATTTTTTGAGATCTCGATTCTCATACAATCCTCCCAGTCCGGTCTCTTTTACTACCCCTAGTAAAAATTCTCGGTTTAGTTAAAAACGAGGTCCAACTGTACTTTGTTCTCTCCTTCATAGGAGGGATACACCTCTCTCTTATCTCATAAAAAACTTTTTTTGCTAACCTAAATTTTTTTTGGGTATTTTCTCAGCTTATCTAGCACTCGAATAATATTCTAAAAAATATTTTTAATTAATTAAAAAAATAAATTTTTTTTTTTAAATTTAAAGTGATGATTCTTCATTCAATTTTATGATGTTTTTCCTGGTCCTTTTCTTCCATACAATTTTTTGTTTAGTTCAGATGCTTGGACTTTCCTATGCCGTGTAAATTTAAAAATTTATTGAAAATAATAAAAAAATTTTTTTTATTTTCAGTGGGTGGACAAACACTATTGAAGCATTTAAGTAAATTAAAAATTAAAATTATTAGTCAGACCTCATCTTAAGATGGGCTCAAGATAATTTATGGGACACGCCCAAGTAGGCGCGCGGCCAAGTAGGCGCAAAGCCATAACTACCTCGAAAATTTATGGACCTTAACAATTTTGGACCATTCTCTTTAGCTCGATGAGAGGAATCGTTTAATACCAAATTTGGTAGGATTCAGAAATCTTGAAGCAAGTTATAACATTGCGCCTACTTGGCCGCACACCTACTTGGGCTGTACCCATAATTTATACCTCTCGGATATACTCCTCTCCTATCCTACTCCATCCCCCTCTTCTAGATGAGCTATCCTCCCCCTTCTTTCGAGATACCCTCATTGATGGAAGTAGATCATTAGTGAAAAAATCGTAAATACGGCCTTAAGATAATTGGAATTAGGCAAAATATGGCCATAAAGTGCCAAAATTTAGTCAATTATTAAAATATATTGAAATGTATTTTGTTCAAAATCATATTATCAAAAATCTGTTGCACATTTGGGCTTTTCTCGACAAAATTTATTTTTGAAAAATTTATGCAATGAAAATCCTCCCTCTACACATTCAAATAGGCATTTTTTTCACATTCAAAAAACAGGGGAGCAGTCCATGGTAACGCAGACTATAATTTTGTTCAAAAATTGTCGAATCCGTGACGTCCAGGTGCAGTTTGATTCATCTCACCGAGGCGAATCGGACGATACTAGGTCCATCACGGATTCGACAATTTTGAACGAAGTTATAGCTCTGCTGTACCTTGGGTGTACCCGGGCACTGGTTCTCTTAAAGAGAGGTCTGACTATTTTTTTACTAAAAAATTATTTTACAAAAAAATCTTTTCTTTGAAGAGATCACTGGTTTATCGGGCTTATTATGCTCGTACCGACCTTTGCATTTACCGTTGCATTTGCGGGGATGTGTCTTTCATTGTTTAAGGTGTTCAGAATTTTTTTAAAATTTAAAAAAAAAATTTTTTAAATTAAAAGGTGCACAGTTTCTACCGTGGTAACGGCACCGGTTTTAGTATTAACAAGGCGCGACAAGAATTTAGTAATGGTGTAATGTCTGATAGAAATGTACAGAATGTGGGTATTTTGAAATAAAAAATTGTTTTAAAAGTCAAGCCCTTATAAAATGGCCTGTGCAAGGACGTGGATTTTTTACCATCAAGACACATACGGCAAATACAGGGGGGTATCCGAGGGCATCTTGATACTATATATCCATACCGTATCCATGCACAGGTCTGGTTCTATTCAGAGGTGGGTCGGTATTCCGATTTCCTTCCGACTTTTGGGCCAGTTCCGATTTCCGGCTCTTCCTATTTCCGACACCTCTGACTGTTACGACCCACCTCTAGTTCTAATTATCTACTAAATTGACTCTATTTCCTTTTATTGGTTTTAAAAAATTTACAACAGAGGTGGGTAGGAATTCCGACTTTTGAGCCATTTCCAATTTCCAAGAGTTCCGATTTAAGACACCTTCGTCATTTTCGACCCACCTCTGATGTACAAGTCCTTCAAAGTTACTATTCCTTAAAACTCGTATTTTTCAAGGAATAAGAATTTTTTTCTTGTAAATAACATACACATGGGGTTAGGTAATTCATTTGAGGGTTGTTTTTGAATGGGTAATCCGGTAATCTTCAAAAAAGGCAGGTTTCCCTTCTTACATTCACTTGAGAAACACCCACTAACAGCTCCTCTTGTCCTAGAATGCGGGCTTCTAATCTAATGACCCGTGCCCTTATAAGTCCAATAAAATTGGGTCCAATCAAAGCTTACAAGTCCAATCAAAGCTTACAACCCTCAATTGTTAAATCCTTTCCCTTTAAATTCTTAAAATCAAAGAAAATATTATAGGCCGCAAACCAAGCTGCGCGTGCTGCAGCAGCTCATGCCGTAAATGAAATGGTCAACAGTGGAGGTAGATATTAAAGAAAAAAAATTTATATATTTTTGACATGATTTGGAGAAGAAAAATATTTAAGATTTTGATTTAAATTTTTTTTTATTTTATGACAAATTCTCTAGAAAATTAATTAAAAATTTTTATTTTTTTTGAATTTTATTCTTAAAAATTAAGCAAAAGTCAATGTAAGATAGGTGCGACCTAAAATCGGGCTGATTTTTTTGATTTTCATCTTATTTTTATTTAAATTTTTATCCTCTAAGTCTGAGAATTTTGGGTATAGAGCAAGTGTTGGATATAGTTTAGCATAACGTAGTTTTAGTTTCGATATAAGACCCATACCATTCGATTCGTCTCGGCGAGCTGAGTCGAACGGTACCACTCTCCAGGCGCGGAAATGCCTGTAGGCCGTGATATAGGTCCCCGAAAATCAAAAACCTTAGGGGGGAGTAAGCACAATTTTGGGGTGAATAATTCAATTTTTCGAGTGTCGATCTGAGATTTCTAGGTGTCTATATCTCGATCCAATCAAGTCGGTTTTCGTTGAACAGCTTGATCATGGGGGGCTTTTATGATCCAATTACACTTGCTGAGACTAACTTTTATATTATAATGACTGTTCTCGAACGATAATCGGATTTTTAAAACGAATTTTCTTCAGTTGAAAATTTCTTTTTTAATAGCTAATTGAAAATTTTCTTCACATCTGGTTAGACTTTGACTTTGAAACACCGCAAAAATATTTTTTTAATGTAATTAAATGCGCTGAGTTCAAATATCACTATAAAAGTGCTCAAAACGGTCTACTTTTGCGTTTTTTCGGGATTTACAGATCCCTGAAAATCGAAACCCATAGGGGGGACCAAGCGATTTTTGGGGTCAAAAATTCGAATATGCAAATAGTAGCTCATTCGAAAGAGCTCGCCGAGCTGAGTCAATGAGCTGAGTCGAAAACAAATTTTTTGTTGTGTTGCTAAGTCAAATTCTTACCTCAACACTTCCTTCATTAAATTAAAAAAAAATTTTTTTAATTGATTGAATATCATGCCTTGCACTTAGCCAGGAAGCAATTGTAAATTTTAATTGGCAGAGCCCACATGCCAATTTCTCTTGTGATTGCTTCCCTCTTTAAAAATTTATTTAATAGACAATGGAAAATTTAAGAAAATAAAATAACCTCTTTGTTAGAGAGACTTGTCAGATGCTCAATCAGCAATTAAAAAATTCCCTCCCCCCCCCCCCCCCCCTTCCCCTTAATTCCTTCCCATTCAAATTTTTTTTTATTTATTTTCCCTTCTATATATTTTCTCCCATTTTTATTTTATTAATTTTTTATTTAATAAATTTAAAATAATTTATTTACATAAAATAAAAGAAGAAGCTTCAATAAGGCTTTATTAGTCTTAAAGTTTGTTGGTTTTTGATTTCAGGAACCGCCAAGCCTATTAAGAAAGTGTGGATTCCCTTCTATATATTTATAGTTGAGTATATTATAGTTTATTTACATTAGTTTCAACCTCTTACTAGAGAGGTCCCTCTTAATTTAAGGTAATAGGGTAATTATTCGAGTTTTGAAATTAGGCATTTGATGGAGGTACCAAAGAAACGGGAGCAGGCCTGTTTACCGCAAGCCCAATGTACCGCCGAGCTATAACTTTGTTCAAAATTGTCGAATCCTTGCCGCCCTGGTATGGTTTGATTCATCTGGCCGAGCTCATCGAACCATACCAGGGCGCCACGGATTCGACAATTTCGAACAAAGTTATAGCTCGGCGGTATAGTGGGCTTGCGGTACATCGGGGTGTACCCCAATGAAACACCCTATTTTCAGTTTAACTTAATAAAAAATAAATTTTTATTAATTATCATTTCGTAACTCCTTTAAAGGCATATTTTTGAGGTCGCATGCACTTAAAAATAAAAAATTACAAAATCTAATGCATTAGCTTTAAAGGATTTTAACACGGGTAATAATGATTTTTTAACTTCCGAAGCGGCTTTTTTAAATTAATTCTAATGAAATTTAAAAAAAATTCATGTGAATCTGGCAATAATAAATAAGAATTCCCCTTTTAAGAACAGAAAGATTCAAAAAATACTATTTTCACTTTTTTCTTAAGACTTTTTATTAGACAAATCCGATTATTTGACAATCCGGGGGGGGGGGGCTTACTGGGCCTTAATAGGGTCTTACTTAGCCTTACTCTATCTCTGGAAATTTCTGAAAGTTATAGCCAATTTTAAAAATATCAGAAAATCAATTTAAACTTCTAGAAATTTCGATGAATAGGGTAAGGAATGTTCCCGGACTCATTGGGCGTTACAGAACCCAACCCCAACTTTGCAATACCAAGAAAAATACAATTTTTGTCCAATCTACTTTCCTTTTTTTATTCAATAACGTATTTAAAATAAAAGAAGTTTGAGCAGAGCTTTTTAGTATCCCAGTCTTTTTCGGTTTTAGATATCCTGAAACAAGTGTGGCTGGATATAAACCGCATAAGCATAGTGTAGTTGATCTACCGTATTTTCTTGAATAATTAGCATGAGTAAAATTTTTTAAATTCTCAATAGACTGAGAATTAATTGAGTGAGGCGAGGCAGTTATATTCGAGTTTTGGTAATTAAAAGTTTGATAGGGCAGTTGAGTTCCGTGACTTTTGCGCCGTGAACATTTGCGCCGCGACTTTTGCACCGAACTTTTGCGTCGGGAGACTTTTGAGCCGCCACTATCATTAAAAATATATAAATAACATCAGCATACCTCACAATAGTTGGTTGTAGTATAGTTGAAAATCTTCGGATCTCCGGATACAACAAATCTACACCATAGTGGGGTTGTCGCATCTTTTTTTCTGCCCCACATGGGCAGAGACAGAGAGCTCAAAAAACTCGAGAAATTTCTCGACTCGAGAGTCGAGACCGAGAGTCTCGATAATCACTATTAATTACAAAATCCTTTTTAAATTTAAAGGGATATTTTTAAGGTCGTATGCACTTATGTATCTCATGAGAAAATTACATAATTTAATGTATTATCGTTAAAGGAATTTAACACGGCTTATAAATATTTCTAATTTCCGAGACGGCTTTTCTATGTAGTCATTATGAAATTTATAATAATTCACGTGAAATTGAAAATAATAGAATAAGAAAATTAGCCCTTTAAAAACACATGGAAAAATTAAAAAAAATATTTTTAATTTGTCATTAAAATAACTCAAGTCCCGCCTATTTCAGAACTAGTAACTACATCACGGACCCGTGGACTGAAAAGTTATATTTTTATTAGGGTTGTTGTCGGTACCGCAATACCGCCAGTACCCCTGGTTTTCGGTTCAACTTACGGTTTTTGGTCAAAACCTACCTTAATTTTTATGATTATTATGACTTATATTAGTCCAACCGTACTTTATAAGTTTATCAGTTAAATAATAATTTTCTTCTATGTTTACTTTTTAATATTCATCTCATAATTGAGTTGGAGGATCCGGATATCTGGGACTAAAATGCCGTGTATGCTCGACTAATTATCCTGGATAATTATTTTTCCCTGGATACATATTGTTTCAATCTCTCATTTAATTAATAGTGAGAAGATAATTATTTGTCTTATACGGTATTTCCGTATATTGGAAAATTTTAAGTCCGGATATCGTATCCGGCTATACTAATCTTTAAAAATTTTTAACTTTAGAAAAATTATTTTCAAAACTTTCTTAAAAAATGACTTCATTTTGCAATCCTTTGCTATTCTCTTCAATATTATTTTTGATGATTTGTGATTTGGGTGTTGAGGCAGTGCGGTACATACACACGAATCAACCTAGTGGAAGCCACGGAGGAAATAGAGTATATTTTAAATTAATTAAAATTTATAAAACGAAAAATATAAAATTTCACGAACCTAAAACCAACCGAAGGTGAATCGGAAAGGGCGAAGGTGCCCAAAATCGTGATTCCGATTCGCCTCTGAAGATAACATTGTAAATTTTTTTTTGCGAATTATATATAGATTATTGGTAATATAGTCTTATCTTCTCACATATCCGCAAATGTTTGTCCACAAATTTTTTTCTCCTCCTTACATCTCGTACCTCATTAGAAAAATTCTTTTTTTAGCATTCTCGAGAACGAGAATTCATTCTCGAGAACGAGAATGAAAAAACCGAGAGTTATATTGGAAAAAAGCCGAGAATCTCGGTATCGGTCTCGTCTTGTCCAACTCTAGTTTATTGCATATTCATTGACAAAATTAAAACACAACATGAGAATGCCAAATTTCTAATA